AATCGATTAATTTTATGGAAGAAAACCTTTCAATCAGCCGTAGTCCGTAAACTTGACACGTGTCGGGCTGTGATTGGAACGACTCGTAAGAAATCGGATTCCTAAAGAATGGAACGTATCTATATCTTATAGGGGGTCGACTGTATATAAAACAACAATAATTTTTTTTATCTTTTCTAAGTTATTTTTAAGTTATTGTTACATTATGTTATGTAAGTTAAGTTTTAGTATCATTTCCCTTCTTCCGCCACTAGTTTACACCTCCACCGTCGTCTATCCTCGAAGGTAAAGCGCATAAAACTACATTTTTTTAAATGAATTATTTTTCTATTATGGTTATTTATACATGTACAACTACAAAACGCATTTTTCAGTGTTTTTCTTACTATATTTATTTATTTTTTTAATGTACTACTTAGCTTTAATTTGAGTGTGTTTTTCGTGTTGGAACGAATTATTTGGTTTTACATGTAATCGTATGGGGAGAAAAATGATTCACCTTACGACATTTTCATGATACGATCTCAGTTTCGGAACGGATTAATTTCGTATCCTGAGGTATCACTGTATATTAAAAACGATAGCTTACATAAGTAGAAACTTGATCTGCTTCTCATATGAGCAATCTTACATTTTTCTTTCATCTTTCCTTAGGGAATATTCAAGTATTATAGTATCAAGAATATCCAAGTATTATGTAAGCAATTCAAGAAGAGTCCCGAATGCATAGATAATACTCAAATGTTTCCTATGTCAGATATGCTAATCATTATAATCGGTTGAATAGGGATGAAACCAAATGTAATATGATGCACATCTCCAACAAGTATACATTTTTTTTATTTTTAATGTGTTCTATTTATAGAACATTGCAATTGAAAGTACTCATTCGTTAAGTACTTTCCAAAAGGGTATAATTCTCTGTAGAGTAAATAAAATATGCATTTAAAACTTTAAAGAAGTAATTTCTAATAGAAAATACTTATTAATCAACTCATAAATTTATGCAGAAGCAATTAAAAAACACACGACAATTAACACTAGCAAAATGTGCTGATCAATTACTAAAACACTTATGCAGTTTATAAACAGATCTTTCAGAAAATACAGAAGTATTTTTATTTTTAATAGTGGTGGAAATTAAGGACAGCATGAATGTCCTTTGTTTTTTATACGTAACACAGAAAACTGGTTCGAGTGAGTAAGAATAATGTAAAGATCTTTCAACTTTATTTCATTATATCCAGTGAACGAACATATAATTATATAATATTTAGGATGAGGTTATAAAATATAGAATGACATTAACTTTATATATATTAACAGTAAAAATACTTTAGCAATTTATTATTGAAACTGCAGATATCCTTTTAAAGAAAATGCATATTAAATATCCAAAAAATAATTTTAAAAATCCACATTTTAACGATAAAGAATAATACCGTGACAAATGGAATCTTTATGATAAAAAGGCGTAAAAAAAACTTTTGTTTACATTGTTAAATAAGTAGAAAATAGAAAAATGAATTTAAAAAAAACCCAAAACATATCTATTTTTATTGTAAGTTGTTAGTAATTCCCTTTTTTTATTGTCACTGATAATTTTGTTAGTAAAAATAAAAAAAAAAAGGAATGACTGAAATTTTTATTACTCTTTCCTGATGTTATTTTATGTCTGGTAATTAAAATAAAAATTCAAAATAAAGCATAAAATTATTTTATTTTTATACATTTGCAGACACACACAAACACAGGAAAAAAAAAAAAACAAAAACAAAGTGCAATTCCCTGCATACGATAACTCGTATTCACCTCCTACCTTTAATATTTTCATCAATATAATAGGCTAATTAATTATACAGTCCTCCTATAACACTGTCGATTATTTCATTTTATATGAATTCCATGTTGTACGAGTCACTTAGATTTTACAAATACATGTGCCGGGCTGTGAATGGCTCACGTATTCGTAAAGTTACTCATACAACATGGAATTCATATAAAATAGACTAATCAACAGTGTTATAGGGGGGTCAACTGTATTTCATGAATTAACATAATCTCTGGAAAAAACCCTGTAAAAATTTTTTAATTCTTTTAAATAAAACGTTACTTGATTGAAATATTATATAAACTTGGTATAAAATATTCTCTATAGTATTAATCAAGTAAATCAAGGCAGTAAAGATGTCAGCCTGATATTCTGAGAGACCCAAATTTGAATCTGAATAGGATCCTTGAATGTTCACGTAGATTTGTTTTGGTCTAAATCTGCTGGATCCCATTTCTCGTTAATTGGTAGCTCCATTGCCGCCTGGCAATACAACAGACTGCAACAAGTAAACTGCTGTATATTTTAAATTTAATTAATTTTTAATTAATTTATTTTGCATTGCTTAAGAAAATTAAGAAAAACATCCCCATAGACAGCTTGTAAATAATTATCGATAATTATTTTACTTTACGATTTAAAAGGTTATATATGGAATAATAATAAATTTGTATTATTTTGAATTTTTTATAATGAAGTGATTAAACAAATCATTTAACTCTCTCTATTACTGATTACTCAGCATTAATGTTGCACAATGCAAACTCATTCAAGTGAGATCATTCACTGAATGAATTCATATTGTATAACATTCTTGATACGTCTGTCTTATATGAATAATCTGAAAGCATTGCAGAGTGAGGCTATGATAATATAGAATACCATTCTAATTTTTTTTTTTATTATTTGACAAATGGCACCCGGCACACGACTTTTATAGTCGAATCAAATTTCCACCAATTCCGAGACGAAAATCAGACCCTATTATACAAACATACCATTCCGGTAGGGTGACTTACAATACATTAGTTCGACGTGGTAAGATAACGCAACATGGGGCAATCTGAAAACGGTAGAACTTTTAACAGGAAACCATCCCTTGTTTACGCATTAGACACGTGACAAAACTCAGAAAACACCACCCGGTCAGCCAGTTTTCCAGACCCAAACCCTCAACCTAGTATTGGCATTCGATACTTTTTACCCTCTCGACCGCTGCGGACACGAATTACAATAGTTTGTTTTATTAAGTTACGACAACGCAACACTTGGGCAATCTGCCCAGGGGGATGCCTTAAAAAGACCTCCCGGAAGGCATCCCCCTATTCAGGCATTACAGACGTAGAGAAAACCTGAAAAAATCCACGTGTCCAGCCCACCCGGCAAGGTACAAACCCACGACCGAACTCTCAGCGTTCGGGGAACAGAACCGCTCGGCCACCGGTGGGCCGCGACTTACAATAGACTCGATTAGAACGGTGGCGGGACGGAAAACAAAACTCCAACCAAAACTATCCATTTTTAATTACGAGTTAGAATATATTCAAATCCCCAGAATGGCAGCTGATACATTAATAGAGATCATCCGGTAATAACGTACCGGTACCTTATAATTTATTTAATTTGGAACCAATACAAGATAAATCTCCACTAGAGGTCACTGTTAGATACTTAGGTCATATGTACAGGACATATATATAAATGACCTAAAGGTAACTTCTACCAATGAATGAAACATGTTTAAATTTTTATATTTTCCACATAAAAACATCAGGAAGGATTTAAATCACTCACCTACATCTTTAACACGTGTAAATCATCTTGTTGAAGTTATTATTAAGTATATTAATCCAGAAACAAGTTAGAAGTATTCGTGTTGGGTTTATATAACAGGTTTATAATGGTTTTTAATGGCAACTTGCAGCAGAATATCCATGAAACAAGTTTTTTTTTTTAACATTGAAAAAACTGAAAGAAATACTTACCTAGAGTTTGACAATTTGCCATTCCAGTCGAATTTCCTTCTTATGTTTCTATCTGATCCATTTTTAAAACTTTCCTATCGATTAATTCACTTAAAATATCGATATTAATTTACGATGATCCATCGTTCGTAAGGCCTAACACACTGAACAACAACAAACACAATTGTCGTCCTTAGATCGTCTGGTTTTTGACGTCATTACAAATAAATAAATAATTAAAATTAAATAATCGGAAAATAAAATAAGAAAAACCAATATTCTTTTCGTTTTCTTAATTTAATTACTTATTATAGTATTAATAATTTATTTTTATTAATTATAACAATAAATAATAATACTATATATTTTTTTTCGTTATCTGCTAAAATAGAGATGGCGCTCGACTCAATGTGTAGAAATTATAATAGAGAGAATGCGGCCGTCGTTTTCATCGTGAAAACGTGTACGTCGGACGTTTAGCGCCGCTTTCCTGTAAACCTAGAAATTTGACAATGGCGTTTGATACGTAGAGCATGATTCCACTGACGTTCCAAACGCCATTGTCAAACTTCTAGGCTTACAGGAAGGCGGCGCTAAACGTCCGACGTACACGTTTTCGCGATGAAAACGTCGGCCGCAACCTCTCTAATGTTATAAATCCTGCCTCTCACTACCAGAGCCCTATTTAGGGCTTAGTCAATCCCACAAAAAATTCCAGAAATTTTTCGGGGAATGGTTCGTCCCGTATATGTTCAGATTTTTCAACACCCGGCTGTCCTCCTGTGGGCGTGGACGAACCGATAATGGGTTATTTTTTTTTTTAGCTCTTTCCGCCCCGTGGGCACTAAGAGGGCGTTATTTTAGCAAACACATTATTCAGCCAAGCCTGCAATGGGGCGGCCGGGAGATGAGAGACAGGGCCGACATATTCAGGCGGACCCACCTGAAAAATTCCTGGGGATTTTTCGACCCGTCCGGATTCGATCTCGGATTCCCCAGAGCGGTAGGCTTCTACTTTAACCGCTCGGCCATCCGGCCGTCATCAATAATGGGCTTGCTAAAACAAGTCCTCTTAGTACCCACAGGGTAGAAAGAGTAAAAAAAAAAGAAAACAAAATAAACGCGTGTTTAATCTTCATAAAAAGGGGACATCGCAGAAATTTTTTATTGCCTGATTTACTGTGGATCATGTGATAAAAAATTGAAAATAGTGCAGTTGAACTAAGGTCTACAAAACGGGAACCCCCACAAGTATTTGCGGGCGTGTAAGATACTAGAGAGGTTGCGGCCGAAGTTTTCATCTGTAAAACGTGAACGTCGAGCGCCGCTTACAAGTAAGCGGCGCTCGACGTTCGACGTTCACGTTTTACAGATGAAAACTTCGGGCGCAATCTGGCTACTTTTTCTATTTTTAAATGTATCAAAAATGTATTTTATGCTTTATTATTGTTTATATTCTGAATTACATATACAGTATATGGGAACACCAAAATCTTTTAAGTGATTAGGGCCTCTAAAAGTCTTAATCCGGCCCTGGTATTTCAAAATTTGAATCTGAAGTTCGTACAACTAATGCGTTTACTAGCACTGTCAGCCGGTTTTACCTTTAAAGAGACCCAAGCAATTTAAATTTTTCGGAACCCCTTGCAAGTAAAAAAAAAAAAAATAATAAAATAAAATAGAAAGTCAGAGAAAAGTGTCTGACTTTCTTTGAAGAAAGAAATCAACTTATCTATCATTGACATACAGTTTATTATATAGTTTATCATGCATATTACAACTTCTTCGACTCTTCTCAGCCGCAAACTGCTATCGTCATATTTCAGCAATTTATCTTCATCAATAAAAATAACGCTTAAATCAGACAGTTTCTCCTGCTTTAATGTTGTACGCAAATAATTTTTTATACATGCTTTTCATGTTTGCAAACGGTGAGACCGTTTCATCAAATATAATTTGATACAAATGCACATATGTCAGGTTACTCCAAAAATTTTTCGACGTTGACTTCACAGTTTAACGAGAAAAATAATAATAAATGAGAAAAGATTCTCGATTGGGATCCATATCAACGTGAAGCACAAGAGTCTTTTCTCATAAATTTACCAGGCTTTCAATGGGAGCGGCAAGTTGTCAGAGTTTGTTCGATATATAGCATCAACTAGAACTGATAAAACAACAGCTACTGACAAAACTTTCTGAGGTCCCACTTAAATTCGAATTTTATCGTCTTGGTTATTTGGTTATGTAATACTGTATTTTGTTCACCAGTGCCGTAATTACCGTAGCCATTGCTGTATCCTGTGCAAGAATATGCATTTAGACCCCTTAATTAATTAGGTTTGGGAAAATAATAAAACAAATACATGCATTTTGGGTCCCCTTCCTAGTGGGCGCTGTGAGGGTGCACCTGCCTAGTTACGGCACTGCTGTTCACCATAGTAAGTTTCGAACCCAGAATCCTTTGTGTGTTGCGTTATGCACATCTGTAATAGTTCCATTGTATTTCTGCACTGTATTGCAAACAATAATTGGGGTAAATAATAAATCGTTCGTAACTTAAAATGCATTGCCATAACTCAAACAAACCACAGTAAGACGGACAGGTAATGAGAAACGGGGGCCACTGTGGGCCTGGGGCTTAATAAGGTCCCAATAAAGAGCTACGCTCTTAAAATTCTTTGAGTTTCAATTTTCTCAGGTTTCATTCGATTACGGCAACGCGACACATGGATGAATCTGCCGACGGGGAAATCCCTTCCGGGAGGTCTTTTATGGGAAATTTGCGTTCTTCTAGTAGTAACTAGTTGGGCATGAGCATCAAGGCTGTATTGCTCCGTGGTAAAGTGTGACGTAATTGTATGTAGTTGTATATGTTTATAATGGTCGTAACGCGGGGAATAATGCCTTCAGGGAGGTCTTTTAAGGGTAACTGACCCTTATTCAGAAGTTACAGATGTGGAGAAAACCCAGAAAACTCCACGTGGCCAACCCGTCTCGGCGAGGCGTGAACCCACGACCAACTATTAGCGTTCAGTAGTTTTATTCACTCGGCTACTGGTAGACCTGGGGTTTTTTAGACCCGTCTGAATTTGGCACAGCGGAAGGCCGCCACTGCTCAGCCATCAGTCCATCTATATAAAATTTCATTCACAGAAAATATTAAATCTTTTAAGTAATAAATATTTCTAATATTAATTCACTTAATAATCTTTATTTAAATTTAAAAATCATTCGCTTAATTTTTGAATCAAAACCAGACCTAAAAAAAAAAAAAACTTCGAAGTAAGTTAATTCGCAGATGGCGCTAGTTATTATTTATTTTCGGCTCGCAGTTACTAACTTCTAACAAGACAGTTCAGTTTTCAGGTGAATATTACTAAAATTTTCCTTCCTTTATGACTTATTTGATAGAAATAAACATCCGTGAACACTTATAAATAAAAATAACAAGAATATACGCGAATAAACAGAGTTTTATACTAGAAAAACAAGAAATATATATGAACCTGGGTTAAACTTTACCTCATGACCGCACAGTGGGGGATCCACGTTCTAACCTAACCTATTCTAATAATAAATTACCAATAATTCGGTAATTTATTAGAATAGATTAGGTTAGGTTAGAACGTGCATTTGGTAATTACAATAGGTTAGAACGTAGGTCCCCACTGTGCAGCCATGACGGTGCACATAGGTAAAGTTTGACCTCAACCTGGTCAGGTTTAGCTTGTGTATATGACAATGCCTAATCTATGGGTAGTTAATTAATGAATTATGACAAATATCCTATTAAAAACTGCATTTATAACTGAGATAATGTTATGGCTAACGGGAATCTTAGCTGGGCACAAGTTTAAGGTGGTCGACACCCGAGAGTCCGTACCCGAAGGTTCAAATCTATTCTGGGGTATACGTTTGTTCTTGCTTTGCACTCGCTGACATCCTAGCAACAAGTGACAAGTGACCGAACGTGTGGTTCCTCTTCTGCGCAGGATTACTCTTGCAATGATTATTGTTTCCGCGACTAGGGAGCTTCTGTCTTAGGGGTGTTCATTCATAATCCCACGAATAATAGCTTCGCGCCACTGGCCACTCGACCAAGCACGTGTATCAAGTGTCTGTTACAGATAATGTGTCTTTACATGAGAATTTTATGAGTAGAATAAAAACAACACTCAATATCTTTAATAAAACATTACTTAACCCAATATACAGCATGTATATTGGGTTAAGTATTGTTTTATAAGTATTGGGTTGCATGTATACAGAACTGTGGTAGGAATTACCTTTGGGTCGTTTATTTATATATTTTCATATATACATATTATCTAAAGTTAACTTCTACCAAATCTCTACACTTTTTTGAAGTTAAAATAAGGAAATCTTGGGTAAAATTGCAGTTATGAATGAGGGATTTGGTCCACCTTAGACAGAAAGAGTCAAAGGAACCGTATCTCTTATTGTAACCCTTGGCGAGTTTGTTTAGTTAAGTTACAGCAATGCAACACTTGGGTTATTTACCTAGGGGAATGCTTTCTGGGAGGTCTTTTTAAGGGTAACTGGCCCCTGTTCAAACGTTACAGACGTGGAGAAAATCCAGAAAACTCCACATGGCCAGCTTGTCCTGGCCAGGCGTGAACACATGACCGAACTCCCAGTGTTCCGGGAATGGAACCGCTTGGCAATATATTTATCTTCAGAGATTTTGTGAGTATTGTTGGAATATCTGACCATGCTACTTGTTAGACATGCAATAAGCTTTATGGAGTGCACAAAGTGACTTATTACTCTCTGGAAGTAGACAGTGTGATAGCATTTTATCTGTCTTTAGTAAAATGGAAAATGGTTGATTTTTAGCATTGTTTTGAGAAATAATTTATTTTTTCACTTTTAAATTTTACCTCATTTTTGAGGGTATTCAAAATTTCAGATAGACTGATTTTGGGAGGATATATCTCATGAAGAGTTGTGCTGACTGTCAGTTCTTTTGATTTTTTTACTCTGGTAGGCATGGTCCACAGTTGCGATAAGGTCCCAGCTGTCTCATTCGGAGATGTGTTTGTACATTTGATTTTATACAAATGAATATTGCTTAAATAGTTTTTTCTTAAAGCTTTTGAAATGTATTCTGTTCATTAATATCTGAATAAAACTTTTCACGATTATTTTAAGCAGAATATTTGTTATAATTCATTAATTAAATATCATTAGATATCATATACATCAGTTTTTGCTTTCACTGTTTTGTTGAGGACATTTTAAACAGGCTCACAATGGGAAATACTGGAATGATGAGGGATGAGGCATGCCTCATTAATTAAGCAATGTAACATATTTTTGATCCTTTCTGTTAGTTTTACAGGAAATCCTTGTTAGTTCAAAATTGAACGAAATAATCGCGACTTTGAATTATCCAAGATTTATATATATTTCTACACAATATGCCGAATGCCGTGTAATTAATGTAATTTATTATGCAAATGGATATGGCCATGTATACAGAATGTCATTTTCGTTAATTAATAATACATGAAGGTAAACAGCACATGTTCAGTGAGAAACTTGCAGGTTGCCAGATAGGTTTTTTATAAAAAAAATAAAGCAGGTTCCTCAAAATTCAGCCCAAATTATTTTTAAAGTGGTTCATAAAGTAGTAAGTAGCCCTAGAGTCCTACAAATATCTCATTCTGCTACTTGTAGCCCAGTCTTGCAATCCCGAAGTCCGGCCATATTTTTTGAGGTAAGAGAAAAAAGCGTATTCCATGGGTAAGGTAACACTTGAAAATGTGTATTACCGTAAACGTAAAAGCAAAGCCATATTGAGCAGATCAGATGAGAAACTGAAATACATGAGATGGTGCATGACGATAATATAGAGTTTGGCACTACGAGGTTGCTAAGCCCCGTCAGCTTTGTAGTGCCTGTATACAGTATATATAATACAGTGAAACTTCTGCAACTTGAACAAAACAAATCAGCAGGTCTCAATGGAACAGCAAAGGAATTTAACATGTTCAAATTGAATTTCTTAACTCGAATTTTCTCCAAGTCAAAGTTTTTTGTGGTCCCCCAATACCGATTTATGTTACAATCAACTTCTCCGACTCAACTTTCAATATTTATTCTAACCAAAGTGATCCTAATTATTGGATTTTCGTGAAATTTTCAGACAGTTAGTGGTATCTACTCGTCAACACCAATTTTCAGACGATGTTCCAATCCAAAGCAAGAAGTCCTCTCACTTTATCTCAACAAGATGTACAGTAACTGCAAATCTGATAGATTCCATTAGTTACATTGAATGTTTTGCTGAAAGGTGGGCTGTTTAAAACAAAAAAAGCTATCAAAGATTCTTTGCGTAAAGCAAGAGGGAGGTAAAATATAAATCTATTCAAAATATGCATTTTTTACTGTATTGTTATCTAACTTGAAGTTTTTTCCTGAAGTTTCACTGTGTACGTTTTGCTTTCATCATGTAAACTTAGGCTATTGTTACTTTTTTATACTTGGACTGTAGCTAATAAGCTGGCTGGAAAGAAGAAAAATACCAGTCACAATTTTTTGACGTGCCTCTCAAGACATATTAACGATACATTTATACTTGAATTTGGGCAACCTTTGCATGTTCTTATAAAGAACGATGAGATATTTTTTATTAAATAATTTCCTTTGCAGATTCCAGAAATGCCCATTTATTGAATTTTAAATATTGCAAAGCGGTCGAATGAGTAAGAAGCCGAGAAGTGAAATGATATCTTCTCAACTATAATGTAAGTCTGGGCATCGGTTGATGGATATTTGCAATATGATCACAAACGCTCATCAACTGATCCTAGAAATTGTAGACACGACACACTTATTGGACTGCAATTTGAAAAAATTGTACCTATAAATTCCCGCTCATTCGTCTGTCGTGTCTCTTTCCTTAATCTCAAGAACAGATATATAGATGAAAGACGAAACCAGACATGAAAACCTTAGGGGCAGGCAGCCTCGATTAACTATATATGAACTTCATATGCAAACCAAATCATGTTATTTTAATTCAAAAATTTTCCCGGGAGGTGTTAGATGACTGGCACGACTCTATTGTTAAAGGAAAAGTATGAGTTAGAATGGCTTTTGTGGCCAAATTGATACAAAACGCACCGCACATTTCTCGTATTATGTGTAAGTTACTTGTAATAATCACAGGTTGTCGTCGTGTGTATGGTTCACTAGTCGTATTGGACTGTTATTGAGGACATAACTATCCTTGTTAACAGTCCAGACGAATGAGTGCTTTTCAGTCTTGAAATCTTGAACAATTAGCAGTGTGTGTGTGTGTCAGGAAACATTGTTCTAGATCAGTGGTTCACAGTCTGTGTTCTGTAATCTTCCGTCAAGTGTTCCACAAAATAAAAAAAAAAAAGATTTTAAAGTTTGTTAGTTTATTGCTTTGTGAGAATGGTAAATATGGAATCACTTTCGAGTATATTGACGTAAATGTTCTGGGTAATAAAAAGTATACGAATGGTGTTCTGCAGCTTCTGAAAGGCCAAGAACCACTGTTCTATATTAAAGTATATACAGGAAATTATCATTTGTTAATTTTCTCTGTTCATTTACTACAAATATTACATTTTAATTTGTTAATTAACAGTTGCCATTAATCCATGGATCCGACTTGGGAAGAACTAGACGATAGAGATGAAAATAACGAGGATACCAGTAGTTTCGAGGTAATGTTATATTATTGTCTGTAAAGCTGAGTGTTGATTTCGGTCTGAGTATTTCTGAAGCAGCAGCATCTCGAAGTTTCTGCATTCCTATCATTTAATGTGTAGCGTAAGTGCAACATTTCAAATTGATAACTACAGTTCATTTTTCCTTACGCAAAGTGAATTAAAATTTGATAAATGCAAAAATAGTGTGCAGTTTCAAATTTCCCATCTGAAGAACTATTTTCAAATGTGTGTAAATTAAAGGTTACGGCGCAGTAAATGAGATTGGAATGGTCATAATAGAAACACTATGAACGGAAACAAATTTTGTCTGAATGTTGGGTCGGAAGTGGGAATCAGAATTTGTTTCAGTTGGAAAACAGCATGGCAAATTATTGACATAACTGTGTACCCCAGACAGGGTATGCTGTCATGTAATTTGCCCAAAATAGAGAGGTTGCAGCCGACATTTTCAACGTGAAAACATGTACGTCGAATGTTCAGCGCTGCTTTCCTAAAGGCCTAGAAGTTTGGCAATGGTGTTTGGAATGTCGAGCATGATTGCACTGACTATCTAAACACCATTGTCAAACTTCTTGGCTTATAGGAAAGCGGCGCTGAACGTCTGATGTACACGTTTTCGCGTTGAAAACGTCGGTCACGACCTCTCTATTGTCTTTAGCCTTGTGGAAACTAATCAATATGTTTGCGTTGGAGTGGAGAGAGAAATTGGTTTTTGTCACGTGACTTTGCTTTTGACTGCTGCTGGTTTCTAAAACTGTGCAGTTTTAGAAACGACAAAATATTCCCCCTGCGGTAAACAAATTCGTTCCATTCCGATCCAACCCAAACTAGTGCATGGGGCTCTGCAGAAATGCTTATAAAAAAAATTCCAATCCAATTTAATGCATGGAAACCTTAAATTACAATTTCAATTATATTCTCAGGCCATTCCCTTCATGAGAGAAGGATTAATTTTTCTTATTGACGCATCCGAAGACATGTTTGATGATTCCGAAGAAACTTCTTTTCATTGTTCCGTAAAGGTGAGGTGTTGTTCTGCAATTGTAGCATAGAAGACATAAATTACGAAACAATACAATCATTTTACATTTCAGTGTGCTTATACGACTCTTAAGAATAAAATCATATCTAGTGAGAAAGATCTTGTGTCTGTCATTCTGTTTGGAACGGTTAGTAATTTTAAAGTCGCGTAACATTACATAACATTAAATACATGTTTGATCCATTTTCTTACAGGACAAATCAAAGAATTCGTTGGACTTCAAACACATTTACGTATTTCAAGAGCTCGAACAACCCGGTGCCGAGAAGGTCATTCAAATGAAGAATCTCTTGAACTGTAAATGCAATGTTTCTTTTGCTTTAGTGTAGTGAATTTTACATATAGACTATAGTTTTTACCATGTAGCATTTCTTGATAATTAGCAAATGAAACATTTGAAGAATGCTCATTAACGGACAGTTTCTAATCAGCCATTAACGAGCATTGAAATGCAATTTTAATGCAATATTTATAAATTTTATGACCGATTTCATAAAAAACATGCGACTTTATCAATAGAGGTCTGCTTGTAACGTAATTTATTATTTCAGGTACTGCCGAAACGTTCAAAGAAGAATACGGCCATAGTAAAGACTTCTCAATAGCGGAAGCCCTGTGGACGTGTTCAACTCTCTTCTCTGCATGGTAAGAACGATACTTTTATTTAGACACAATGCCAGCATAGTAGATGAAATACTTTTGCTAACTCACAAAATATATTGCTCGTGTGTTTTAGTCAGCAGAGACTTAGCACTCGGAGAATTCTACTGTTCACCAATTGCGACAGTCCCCATGCCGATAATCCTACACTGGAGAAACAAGCCAAAACCAAAGCGAAAGATCTGTTTGAATTGGGAATCGAGGTCAATGTGATGCACATGAGAAAAGAAGACAGAAGATTCGATATAAATAAATTTTATAAGGTTCGTCTAATCAAAGCATTTGATTTTTAATAAGATTAATGCAAACATATATGTTAATTTGGTGACATCGTCAATTTAATTTCCAAATTATATTCTTCTTATGCTTTGGTTTCTAAAGCCAGAAGAAACCAGGTGTTGTTTCCCTTGGTGCCTTAAGTGATGATTAGACATTTATGCCTCTCTTAACAAATTTGAGAGGGGCATAAAGGGCTATTCTTACATTTGTATCTATGACAATTTGTGGAATTTATTGAGGTTTGTAACACCTAAATAGGATAGTTTCCCATAAAAGTCCTCCCTTGGCAGATCGCCCAAGTGTTGCGTTGCCATAACAAAATAAACCAAACCTTGGATAGTTACTGGTAGGAAGACAATAGTGGAAAAGAGGAATTGCAGAAATTCTGTTTAATATTCTTTTTTGTTAGACCCAATAACTCCGAAGCTTGTGAGTTTCTGTGAAAGTCGGGTTGGGAAAAATTAAAAGTTTGTTGTAATGATATTCTGCCATACGATACATAAACGAATCAGAATGCTCGGCACAAAGTTTGTATTTGTAATGCGAACTTTATCTTGCACTCTGTAAACTATTGCAGCTGTTATATGTTGTAGGATGCATAACAATTCCCTATTCTTGCTTGAGTTGCATTATATGTCTCATTTGTCATTTTATGGTTGTTTATAAACTATATCATATCATCACATTTCTTTCTTTAATGTGTTACGTCTTTTGTCAGGACATTATGTATCTGTCAGACGAAGAGTATAATAAACTTCCCGATCCAGCAGAGAAGTTTGACGAGTTATTGACGAGGTACATAAAAATTAATTTTTATTTAATGCACTACTTTTCTCAATAAACCAAACTGCTTTTATCTGTCAGGATACGAACGAAAAATCACAAGAAGCATTCACTTGGTCACGTCAACTTCTATCTCGGAGATGACGTCAAGATGGCCGTCAGCATTTTCAGCCTAGTTCGTTCCATGAATAAACCCTACTCCATCAAACTTTCGAAAGTAAACAATGCAGAGCTGAAGACCATGACAAAACATTATCGTGGTGTAAGTTGATTTGCTCCGCTCCATTTTTTGCACAGTTAGTATCAAATACAGGTTTCCTCTCTGTTGCAGGATACGGCAGAAATATTGCTTCCGTCAGATCTCAAAAAGTGCCAAGAATACGCAGGGAAAAAGATCTACATGGATATGGACGAATTAAGACAGATGAAGTATTTTGGAGAATCAGGTATTGTCCTTTGAAAACAATCAACAAGAATCATCACTGAAATTTTAATATACTATTAATTTTTGGTGAGATAGGGCTGACTCTGCTGGGATTTAAACCAATAGCATGCCTGAAGGAGCATCACCATCTCCGGCCCACCCAGTTCATATATCCAGACGAAAGCCGAATTACGGGGAGCATACGGTTATTCTATGCACTACTCCAACAGTGTCATAAAAAGCAGTACGCTCCGATCTGCAAGTTTATATGTAGAAACAATGATACGCCAAAATTAGTAGCCCTAATACCGCAGGTAAGAAGCACTGCCGTTAATTGTGCTTTGGAGAACGTATAGAAGAAGAAAAAAGCATTTCAATTACAGGAGGAAGAGTTGGACGATCACGGCATTCAAGAAGTCCCGCACGGTTTCCACGTGGTGTTTCTACCTTTTATGGAAGACATGCGCAAACTAAACCTGAGAAACAAGCAAAAACCCAAAGAACAGCTGGTTGACAAAGCAAAGGAAATAATAAAGAAGTTACAGTTTAGGTTTCATCCCGAATCATTCGAAAATCCAGGTATTTGATTCTTTCCATATTTGTTTTGTCTCACACAACAAAGAGTAAACTTCTACTCATTACAGTCCTTCAACAACACTGGAGAAATATCGAGGCACTTGCGCTAGATGAAGATGCTCCCGACGAGATAATTGACTACACAAGTAAGTTTTGTATCGGATACTCTTGGCATATAAGTTAACTTGTACACCAGAATATATAGCAAGGAAATATTTATTTAGTGCCGGATTATAAAACTATGGAACAGCGCGCAGGAAAACTGATGGAAGAATTCAAATCCCTGGCATTTTCAGACAATTATGAAAGCATCGTCACCGGAAAGAAACGAAATGTAAGTTGTGCCTTGAATAATGTTTAGTTTCACATTTTATTGATTGATCTGTTTATTTACAGCTAGGAGCCGCATGTGGAGGAACTTCAAAGAGGTCCAAACTGGACGATACTAAAGTCACGGTGGATGTGCAAAAAGAAGCACAGGAAGGAAGGGTAAAGCATTGTAAGCATCTACAAAAAAGTTTTAAAACTTTGGCATTGAAGTCTTTTTACATTTCAGCTGGATCGCCTGACAGTCAATGTTCTCAAAGAGTTCTGTAAAAGTCGAGGAATTAAGTGCGGGTCAAGAAAAGCTGAAATAATAGGGGTCATAAACAAGTACTTCCATGTCGACTAAGTTTAAAACAGGAAGAAAAGAGCACTCGAGTGCTTCTGCGCATATCATTTGCCACAACTAGACGATTGTGTGTCATGTTCAAACAGAATGAATGTTGTGTTTCATGTTCTCACTAAATTGTATACAATAAACCATCAGACATTTGTAATTGTTCTTTTCTTTTAATAGAAATTAGAGGTCGAAACATTGCTGTAAAACGTTTTATTGCTGTCATGACAAATATAGTATAAAACTGCCTTGACAATAGCTAGTATAAAAAACAATTTAATGCATGATTCTTTATCACAGAATAACAAGTATAATGCAATATAAAAAACAATGTGTCCACAAAAATTCAGATATGCACAATTGAACTCATGGGAACTCATTTTTACTAAAACACTTTTACACTTGTCACATGTCACCAAGTTGGTACCACTTGACTGTTTCCTTTTGTATGTTAATCTCATCCAAACTAATGTTGACTGCACCTAAAAATTCATTCTCCTGCATCCTGTCGTAATTCCAAATAGAAACGTGTAGTGTGCGCCTTGTGACGATATCCAATGGAAGGCTGTAGGCCAGCATTTCCATGAATGTCGGATGATTGTTCTTGAACACCACCTTTGTCTTCCGCTTTGTGACCTTTGTGGGATCGGGCAGCAGATAAATTTTGACATAGGCATCCGGTGCATTACCTTTAGATGAGCTTAAATTTTTGGCATGCATGACCATTACAAAGAAACTCTTCTTCTTGTATACGATTGACAATTTCACCTGTCCTCTAATGTCTCCCGTATTCTTTCTCAGCGTCTCTTTATAGTCTGGACTTGGCAGATTCGGGGACATCCCCTCTTGGTCCCTCAGTATGGGGTGAAAGAAAGTATAAACAATGCTGCAGTGTGAAATTTCGTCTGCCATTTCCATCAGAGTCTCTAGAAAAATGCCAATTTCCACTTTTCTCCTTTCAGCCACTTCTCGGACATTAGTTCTTCCCATCAGTGGATTGCGTGGCAATGGATGAAATTTGGCCAGAGGAAACATCATGCACATTTTCTGGTGAAATTCTACAAATTCTCGATATGAACGGATGATGTACATTGGATCTACTTGATTCTCTCTATGTAATTTAATTATATATACATAATACTTATCGGGGTCAAATCTCTTTTGGCAACCCACCACCTCCACGGAAATTAGCCTTCCGTCCGTTTCTTTGGTAAATAGCTTTGGTATAAATGACAGTAGTAGCCCGTCATTATGGTCTCCAGTAAATCTTAATTGAGCTAGATTATGCATAAAAAAATTGAACTGTGTGGTCCACGATTTCAAACTTCCTTCGATCATACGTGTGAAATGCGAGGTTGCTTCGGCTTCTGACAGGCCGGGCAACAGTGCCTTCTGCACATATCCCAAGGCGTCCATTGTGACGCCAGGAATGCCCGACGATACCATCAGAGAGAATAAATTTAAAAATATATTGCTATTTTTTCGGACAATGTTAAACGCTTGACAACACAAATCTATAAAATTCTGAAATCGTTTTGTAGGTTGTACACCTCCATTTATTACGTAAGCCATATCCGAAGTTAGTACGAATGGTGTCCGGTCTCGTTTTATGTTGCCAAACATTTGTGCATCTCCTAAAAACTTACCAAAATCTATGTGAAAGATATGACCAGATGTTTTCAGCATAATGTTGTCATTATGCCTGTCACAGATACCAAGCACATAAGTAGCAACACAATAACCTGCACATGACATTGTGAAATTTTCTACGGCTTGCTGATATTCCAGTTCTGAAGTGTTATACTTCTGCAACCACTCTGCAATTGGGCGATCTTTGAAAGAGCCAGTGAGACCATGTTCAGTTTGGATTTTCCTTAATGTTTCTGCTTCAAGAACCATTTCGACCATACCCTTCTTGTGAGCTGTGGCAATGCACATAAACGTCACAATTTTCAAATCGAGACCTTCTTTCAACCACATCTTGTCCATAATTCTGATCATTTGTAGAGTGAGCATATCCTGTCGCAGATCATCTCCCACTTTATAGATGGCTTCGATGCACTTTGCATTAGATTCTTTGCTGCGAAATACCAATTTCAAAGGTAGAGTGTTGGATGTAAAGTACGAGCACGATTTTACATCTATGCCACAAACCTCTAAACTCGGAGTCAGGGGAAGACAAGTAGGGCTGTCACTTAGGGAATGATGAGCCACTTCCAGTTCGTGAAATAAATTATTGAGTCTCATAGATTCTTTTGTACTTTTGATGCTATCAGCTACATTCGAGAGATTATGGAGTAGAAGTTGTTGAGTTTCTATTCTTTCTCGCATAGCTTTTCCAGAAATTACGAGAAGTGCATTCAGAATCAAATGCATCCTCTCCCCTGCAAGTGGATCATCGATTGTTTGTTGGAGGAGCCAGTACAAATGATGTGCAACTCTTATACTAGTCAGTGATCTCTCAAGAAGAAACCAGACCAAAGGAGAATCCTCCCAGACTTCGTATCTCAGTGCTTGTACCATTTGAGGAAGATAATCACACAACTCATCACTCACAATACTTTTCATCCAACTTATGGCAGAACGACGCACTTCAATATCCGCAAAACTTGGCAAGAGAAGCATCAATGCTTCAATTGGCGGAAGAGGCTTCCATTCTTGGAGCATTCCATAAATATCTGATAGACAGGCCCAATCCCAGCCATGTGCAGATAACAATACTTTTGGTAAAGCTCTAGGTATGTCGTAGAGATAGTGCCGTTTTTCCCAAATAAGTTCCTTCTCCTCGGCGGTGAGTGAAATGAGAGGATCGTGTTCAATAATTTCCATCAGTTGTGACTGTATTGACACATTTAAAGTTTCAAAATTTCTCTTGTTGCTGGAAGAAAATTCGTTTTGAATGACCACCGGAAATTTTACTTTACAGCCAAAATCAGGAAAATTTAATTGGAGTAAAGGACAGTGGCTGTTTTCATTAGATAAAGATGGGCCCGAACCTTTAGGAACTTCATCTGGCCACAGGCCGAGAAGGTAACTCCCCTGTACCAACTCATGCTGATAGTTAAACAAATAAATTCCACACCACCCTAGCACAGTTTTAATCTGTTGATTTGATTCTTGAGTTTTTGAATCTGACTGATCCATTCGCAGTCCCAAAAATGTAAACTGAAGTCTAACTTCACGAGGAAGCATGCACATTGGAATTGTCTCAAACTGAAGCCATTCATCAAATAATACACGATGAAAAAAGCTCTTGCTCGTCACAACAGTTTTTGTTTCTACCACACCGAGATGATTTTCTCCGTGCCACATGTCGCACACTACTTGGAAGTGTTCAAACAAAGTAATCCACTGAGGTGGAATTCGATGGATCAACCCAATCTGGAACAAAAGTGTGTCTAGAAAACTTGAAATATCTTTCACGGGAGAATTTATAGCAGGTGGCTTTGAAACATCGAAATCAACTTTAAATGTTTGAGAATATAAAGATAATAACTGATTGACAGCTTCGTGTAAATGTACAAGAGCGAGATTTAAAAGCTGTAGTAACTTTGTTTTAGTTTCGCTGTTAGTGTCGGAAGTGTTAGTTTTTGATACCAACAAATCTAGTTCCATGACAGGTTCTGATTTCCCAAATAAAAGACATACTTGAATTAAGCTCTCCACGGCATCAGTAATTTCTACAGTTTCTATGTGACACAATAACGTACATATAGCCTTCACGGCTTGAATCACGCCTTGCGGATGTAACGTTTCTCTGTTTAACTTACTGGCACATATTTTCATCTTTTCGACTTCTTTGCTTAGTGTGTCAAGTAGAATATTTACCGAATCGCAACTGATTACACCCTGACTAAAAATATGGAGGAGACTTTCTGGTTTACAATTAATATCATTGTTATCATCTTGAAGTGTTCTAGCTAAGGGCCTTTGCAAGTCTTTTGTTTCTATCAGCATTAACTCTACTACTTTATCGAATTTGTGACACAGATGAACATATTCATAATTAGCTAACACAGAATCGGCAGAGAAATATTCCGACAAGCCATAAATTTTGAGCACAAAATCATCCATGTTCATGTTGCTGATGTTATCAAATATAGTGCAAATGGCATGGCTTATTATGTGCTCAACACTAGTATTCACATCGCACGTAAATGATACCGGTTGGTCCGATATAGTGGAATGAATGACCAGTTTAATGCTTAATGTATCTTCTCTGTAACTGTCTATAGATGGACTTATAACCAAACCCACATTGGTGTGATAATCGTCGTACGGAAACTCGCTTCTGAGTACGATAAGTCTGGTACAGAAATCTTGAATTTCTGAATTACACACCGATGCCTTTTTAGATACTTTTAATTCTGGTATTCGAGAACAAGCAGGATCATTTTCCCAACAGTTTTCTTTACTTCTCTCTCCATCAACAGTTTCAAAGACATCGTCGACAAAAGTCTTTTTACTAAAGTCATCATTCCATTCTGGTGGCATTGTTGGTGATATGATACTTTTTATTCTTCCCCCAAAAGATGTTTCTATATTGCTTTCTAACTGAGTTTCATCTACTGAATCTAAGAATGGAGAGTCGATATTGATGGACAATGGATCAAATAATTTCAATATATCATTCTCAAACATTTTAGATGCTTGTGTATTTGAACACTGCTTTATCATATCATCCTCCCCGCAATATAGATCTATAAGATTGCTATCTCTCTTCTTCTTCATGAAATTTAAAACATTTTCCAAATTAGATTCCACTGCTCCTCTTGTAGAACGTTTCTGTAAAGTATTGAATCTTGCCTGTATGGGTTGGCGTTCTCCAGTTTTGACAAGGAAATTCCCAAGATTAGGCTCAGATCTACTATGCTGAATGTCATTGGTAGCTGCATTGAGATAAGGCACTTTTAGTTGGCCCGACGCATTTGATTGGGTATAAAAAACACTTTTTGACTGATCGGTATGCAAAAATGTAGAAGAGGTCTTTGTATTATCAAAGAAAACTTTCTGAGATGTACAGTCAATGTTTACATTCGAAGAATTAAACAACAATCCAGCTGATGAATGACTTTTTTGAACATCTTGAGAAATTCCACTGAACCTAATCAAGTCTTCATGCTTTTGGAAATTACGCCCCGATGGTGGAGGTGGAACCAAAAGTAACTCGTTTATTTCTTTCATTTTACTTGTCTGCATTGGTCTGTTCCACTGACGTGGTGGCAGTGGTGGTGGTGGTGACGACCGACTCCCTGAAATTTAAATAGAATATTAATTTTAATATTGGAAGCAAGAATGATTTTTCAATAAGAAAATTAAAATGACGTTTACACACAAAACTTTAAATAGAAGAAATTTTATAATATGAACTCAAAATGGTTTTTTATTAAAACTAAACTTTAATTTATTGTATACGAGTGTTTTTAGAATTTATACCTTAATATACAGAGAACAATCCGTAAGTAAACAGACACCCTTATTTTCAGACACCATCTTTTATTTCACAATATCCATGTGATATGTTAAACAGGCATATTAAAACCACATAGCCTTAAACCAGTCATGCAATGCAATGGAATCAACGAGTTCTGTTATCTCAGCTTGCTTGGCATACAATTCTAACAATTTCCTGTGGGAAGCAGGTTTTCAAGAATGCATGAACTCAAATCCCATTGAATGGTTCACATACATTCAATGGGATTTGAGTTGGGAGACTGACTGGTCTGTGAATGTCTCATTTTCCAGCAATTCCGGGTCTTTTTGGAAGTGTGACAATGGTGGACCAATGAACAAAACAGCCAGAGTATATTGGAAGGAGATCCTTCTCCAATATAGCAATGTAATTTTTCAGAGTTAATATTGTCTCATGCATTTGCTGACATTCAGGATGTTGTTTAACTTTTGTGTTCTCTCTGTATATCATTTAAGTGTAGCTGCTTCAGCTTAAAGTCTTTCAATTAATGCTTAGAATTCTTAAAAATGGTCATTAACACAGTCCACACTTTATACAAGTAATGAAAATTTTGTTTTAAATAAGTTTTTTTTAAGAGTAGAAAATGTTTAAATTTGGAAATTAAGTGGATATTTGAATGAAATTTCAAGCATAAAGCTTTAGTATTAATATTAATTTAGAGAATAATGTCATTAAAATATTTTCACTTCCTTCCATCTAGTGATGGGGACTTCTAGTTTCTCTTCTAGATTATTTCCAGAATCATACAGATAATTTATTTTTAATTTGTTATAGCCAGTGGACTGATATTTCTGGAAATAATTTTAAAAACAAGTAATTTTATGATTAAAAGTAAGACTTTAAGACCTAGTTATAATTAATTGTTGTAAACTTATTTTGATCCATTTATAATTTAATATCCTAACATATGTAAAAGCCAAACTATTTTCAGTCTAGAATTAAGCTATTAATGAAATTATAGAATTTAGTCTGAGGGTAGGTGATTAAATAAAACTACACAGATCATGTGTTATACATGTTTTTGTATATGATTGGTTTATAGCAATGAAATATATAATGTAAGTAATATTCACATGTAATTACTGTATTTACTTCCAGATGAGGTTTTCATTCATTTATCACAGCTTCAAATTCCTAGGTCATCCTATATGCGCGAGCGAAAGATTCTTTGTGATTTTGCAAATAATTTTTGTGAACCATATATTTGCAATTTTTACCTGATACTTAACCTCTTGTATTTAAAAACATATGTATTTTATCTGGGTCGTTTGAATCGTTCTTGTATATTGTCAACAGTAAAGATGAATAGCAATAGGAAAAGCAAAGCTTTTGAATTGAATTCCAGATTGAAATTCCAAAATCACACGGGAGTATGAATCCATTCCCATGTGAAAACACGATTATTCGGAAATCAGAATTTGGAGAAAGTCATAAGTGTAATCGACTGTTAAAAATTGGCAAAAAAGAGTTTCCGATTGTCCTGCTTTACGTGAACAAATTATGCTGTCGATTTTACATGATTTTTCCGTAAAGTTTAAAATGCCAGTAATTTTTGCGGGACAACGTGTGCATTTACGTTCATTTGATATTTTACTTGTGATTTAACGAAATGAAATTACAATTGTATTAATAAATCTAATTTTTTTTTATTTTGATCTTTAAAGTCACACTTCATCTTATATGTGAGGTTGTCATATATGCAAGTAAATATGAAGACTTCAAAAATTAATTCCATATGACATATGGAATTAAACAGAACAACTTTTCATATTTTTACCTCAAAATATAAAAGTACAGGTAGTGTTAATGAGACTGGCCATGTTGAACAATTAAGTAAACCTTCAAGCATTACCTTCTCCATTGTAGGAAGTGGCAAGGGGTGTCTGCTTATCCTGATCTGTCCTTTGAGACAAATTCGGCTGCACGGACAAACTAGTGGCAAGATGATTACTCCAATCTTTGGTTCCCCATATATTCGATTCCGTACCTTCTGTCCATGATTTCATAAATCCTGAACGGGGTGGAATTGGTGGGACTGCCATGTCTCGCTTTCTTTATTTTCCAAGATCCAATTTCAAATGCGTATAGAATATTCATGTCAACAGACTGACAAATTATTTTAAATATTTGAAAATGTTAGAACCTCACTTCATTTTCCTGAAGCTTCCTAAATGAAAAAAATGCCATTATTAATTTTGAGAATTTATATAAAATAATACTACTTTACAAAACAATAAATCAACTAAAAGCAGATCAAATGATTAATGCAAGGTTAAAACACAAAAGAGTACATCTCATAAAATTTGAATAAATATATCAATTTCCCAACTTAAAGTAATATGCAGCAAAAATTCAAAGAAACCGGCTAACAGACATTGAAACCGATTTAAAACTAGCAGTGACTAATATTTAACCAAATATTTCCGATATATTACATTTACATCAGTTCCAGAAACTAAATTAAGTATACCTATGCTAATTTATAATTATATGTGAATAAATAATTGTGATTTACTGGCATATTTTTTTCCTCTTTTCTCTTATATGCGGCCCACGTTAGTTCAGAAGTTTCGAAATGCGACCATTACAAAGAAGAAGGTTGCCCATTCCTGGTATAGACAATGCTAACAGGAAGTGCATGTGAAAAATTTAGTTACTACATTAAATCAGTACATTTTCACACATGATCCTGATGTTTTGTTTTGTTTGTTGTTTAGTTAAGTTATGGCAATGCAACACTTCAGTGATCTGCCTAGGGGAATGCCTTCTGGGAGGTCACTTTAAGGGTTACTGGCCTTCATTCAGGCATTACAGACATGGAGAAAACCCAGAAAACTCCAGGCCATCCTGGCAAGGTGCAAACCCATGACTGAATTCCTGGTCAGGAAATGGAACTGCTTGGCCACTGGTGGGCCGATCCTAATATATATCTGGCCTGTACTCTATTTTAGCCAATCTCTAAGTCAGCATGTTACAAATCATGATGTTAATTACATCCACGATTCTTATATGCAGGGATCTCCTGTCCGGCACTTTTGTAGCACATGCAGTTGATGTGCCCACAAAATTCAAACAGACAATGTCAGGTGATCAGGCAGACTGACCCTGGCAATCTAGACCACGGAACAGGAGTGGCCCTTTTGAATGTACACATGTTAAATTTGGAATACTGACCAACAATCTCAGACACTTCTTATTTATGTAGCCAAACAGATTCTACAGAACAGTTTAAACGAGGGACATTCAAGGGAAACACCCCCATATTATTGCGAGAATAATGATATGCTATAAATAGTTTTGTTCAAGTTTCATGTTTATCCAACAATTTAATTATTATGAATTAAATTTGGTAGTAAAATTTGGACGATTACAGCATATATTTTGTCTTATGAAAAATTCTTCTGAAGACGTAAAGAATTGCAAGAGCTGACAAAAATTTTTTAAAGTATTAAATTTTCCAATATACAAAGCTTAAACAGTCAAATTAAAATAATGCTAAAGATAATCAAATGATTACTCTTAATATGCATAAACCTAACATAGTAAAGTTTGCTCATAAGATTCAAAATGTTTAATTTAGCAATAAAAACTGTTATAAGTTTAGGTTATAATGATAATTCTTTGAGCTAATTATGCTAGAAAGTACAGTAGAAAAGTTTATAGGCTATTTCCATTAAATTCAGAGAACTGTTATGATAATTATTCAAATAAATCTGGAAAAAATCTATGTGCATTATCTTTCATAATGAACATTTTTAAGAGGCATTACCTAAACTTGATAATAAAACAGTCTAAAATTACTCTCTTAAATTTTATAGAACCAGATGCAAACAATCTATTTGATTACTGAGCTAGATCACGAGTGACCTTGATCTTAAAATGTTTTTAATAGTGTTATGTGAGGAAAACCAAGCTGCCATAAAATTGTGTAAACACCATTTTAGTTTGTTTACAATAGATCAGTCATCCTGATACTTATTTACTTGATAGAATTATCACGTTAAAAATGATTTAATGGATCTAGATCTATAATCATGTAATTAAGATAGATGCTAATTTATAATTTATTCCAAAATTTAAATAAGGACACATCATTTTTACTAAAGAAAACAGTTATAATCTAACATAATAAAGATTAATCGATCAATGTAAGATAAGTTTATCGGATAATCTCTTAACATATGGTAAAATTGCTATTCTTTGATAAGAAAAAATGTTTCTGTTACATTTTTATTTGCAAAACAAATTGTAAATTTACAGTTATGTCATGGTTTATATTTCGGTAATAAATCATTTACTTCACGTCAGCAATAGATGCTGACTAAGTGCTACGACTGTGTATAATTACTTGTATATTTACAATCTAAATCAGGATGGGAAAGTGACATTCTGCATGCTTTTGACTAAAAAAAGTGGCAAACCAATTTTTTTCTATTTAAAGCTTTCAGAAAATATAAAATAGAATTAATTTATGAAGTTCCACCCATTGACAATTAGATAATTATGTCACCAGTATACTCTACAGGTTAATAATTAAATTGTTCTTACACCTACAGTGGAAACTTTGAAGTGAAAACCTAGAGAAACTCACCTTACCTTTGTCTATAATTTGATATTTTAATTAATTTTTATCAGAACTGGGCACAAAGTTTAATGTATTTTTTTTTCTATTACTGATAGTTAATCTATCTTCTGTATAGTTTTGTTTTTGTTTCCATTTATTATTATCTATAAACTTTGTGTGTATGAAAGGAAGAGGAAAAGGATAGAAAAAACAAAACATACCGTCAAATGTATTCTTAAGTTTTAAAATGTTTTTAAACACAAAAAAAACAAATAAAATTCCTTTATAATGCGAGATAAAATATGATTTTTTAGTATTCTCAATAAAAGAAAAAAGAAAATGGCATTACATTGGCATTTTTCCTGCAGTATATAATGCATTTCCTGCATTCTCTAAGTATTAAATTTACAATCTGTAATTGAATGACGGGCAGAGTGACACATTTAAACGACACTGCTACTTTTCAACACATGCTAACATTCTTAGAAATATAAAATTTTTCAATAGAGAATGATATTAATTACGTAAAGATCGTCGTCATTTATACTTCTGTAAAGTCATAAAATTAATTACTAAAACTACCGAGAAAGATAATTTGTGACGATAAGGGCACTCTTATGGTGTAAACCAACAAGGAGTGGCTTATCTGGAAGAAATAATAGCAGTTCCTCCCAGTTGTTACGAGATAAATTTATATAAATATTTATTGTAAAGAATAAATAATCATTATATGGTGCAATAATGCATTTGGTAACCCAAAATATATATTAAATGATTTTCCTTTGGTGCATTTGTTAATTAATAGTATGATTAATTACAAATTCTACATCCGTTACAAGTGTTCCTATGTAAGACAGCTGTATAATTAAATATATTTTATACTTTAACCACATTTTAGTACCTAAAAATACATAAATGTTTTGATAGAGAGAAAAAAGAAGAGCAGAAGAGCTGTAATATTTTTAGCAAGATTTCTTTCTAATTTATACATTGAAATCCAAACAAAGTTAATATGTCCTTGATCCACACTTGACTGCAGTTAAATGGCAAACTTATAAATTTTAAATGCCGTTTATCAAATTATTAACTGCATATTTACTCTTCAATAAAAGTATTGCTAGATCCTGCTTAAGAATTGCATCTTAAAATCGTACATTTATTATTCCCAACGTTATTTAGTAAGATCAGAATGCTTGCGTTAAGTTATACATCTATTAAATGACAGTCGTTGGGGGTAAAGTTAATTTGTTTACAAGAAAAAAACTTTCTTGTTATCAGTTATTTCACTGATATAATTATAATATTAATACTACAGTTTAATATATATCACAGGATAGATGAGATACTGAAAACAAAAGGAATTATCAAACAAAAAAAAATTAGCAGTACAGGTTAGTATACAATTTGAAGATATGCATTTTACGGTCATTACTGATAATGCAATCAATCAAACTATTTCAGAATCTAGCACAATAATTTATATAATGACAACAACCAAACCATGCAAATTGGATTACTTTTGATAATTTAATATCGTATGAAATTCGACTCAACACCTGTTTCTCGTTGATGTATTTTTATTATCTCCCTCTGTATCACACCCTTGTGTTTTTTATTAATATAACATTAAAACCAACCCACTCGCAAATAATTCTGTTGTAAAATCCAGCTAACTTGACTGCCATGACCCAACAATTGCTAAATGGGTTTAAGATACATGTGGATGAATACACAAAGCCTAGATTTCTTATAAACTAGTTCTTTCTTAACTTAAATATCCAAGTAATGATTTTCTAATCCATGCTTTCATAATTTAATAAGTATTAAAATTTCTGATCATTTAAAATGGAGTTGGATTGAACGTCTGCAACACCAATAGAATGTAGGAACCATTTTTCAAGTTATCATAACACATGTTTCTTTGTAATATTTGCTTTTATCTTTACTACATCCTTGAGTTTGTTTAGAGACTATTTATATTCATTCAATTTAACCTTGCCACTTTGTACATTAACCTTATTTATTTCTTCATACTTTCTTCTCATAACAATGCTTGTTTTATGAGTTAACACTTTAAAAAATCCATGACACAAACAAATATGAATAATTAAAACTGACCTTTGTTTTTTTTGGATTCTGCCCCATTTTCCATTAATACAAATTTTTCTAGTGTCGACAATTTAAATGTATTAATTTGTGCCAAAAACTATGCAATTTTCAGAACTGTTTTGTAATTTATATAAAACACTTTCGGTAGACTAAATACAATTTAAAACCAACCAAAAACTAAATATAAATAATAATAATTATAATTATTTAATATATTATTTCTAATGCAACTAAATGTTTCATAGTCACTACACAGCTTCTATTTATTAAAAAAAAAAAAAAAAAAAAAAAATACAACAGATGCAGTGATAAATGCATATTAACACATTAAGATGACAACTTTGAGTGGCACACTGTAATACATAACACTCGACTAGTTATTTATGGCGGGCTTTAACCCGTTACTTCTATCGAAAAGTCACGCAAGCTATCGAAGGTCATTTGTTGACCTTTAAATATATACAAGCCAAGCTACTCTCTCTCTATATATTTTTAAAAATTAATAATCCTATCATCTATATTTAGCAAATAATTTAAACCTATTCTAAGTAAATAAATATATATGTATATTTTTCTTTTATCTAAAAGGAAGACATAAGCTTATGAACTTCAACAGCTTATTAAATGAAACAAAAAATTCAAAATTTACTTATAATTAAATAATAATTTTATTTAATAAATTACTAAGTTAAAATTCTTCCATATAAAAAAGAAATTGAAGGTGTAACTTAGGAATAAAACTTAATTCTTTTTTAGTGTTTTGATGCAGAATGTTACTTAATTTCCGACAATCTCTTTTAGACTTTCCTATGTTATTTCTAAGCATAGTAGATTCGAAGAGAAATATATTAAAAATAAAAATATTGCACAGAATATTAAATGTCTTAACCGTTAACACCGAATGATATGAAATAAATCTGACTACTCTAATGACGACTTAGTTTATCGTCGTCTATGAACTATGTATATAACTCACATATAGAAATTATACTAGCAATCTAAACGTATAAAAATAAAAATCTAAAATACTGAATTAGCAAATAATTTAAACCTATTCTATATGCACAGTTATTATTATATGCACAGTTATCGTCAATATCTTTAAAAAAGGTAGAAAGTGAAGACATTTAAATATTCTAAAAATATTTAAAAGCAGATCTGACAGAACTTTCGGCAAAGTTCCATCAAGAACTAACGACACTTTAAATATCATTAGTTTTCGATAAGATAAATATACACGCGATAGTGTAAAAATATATTTTATATATTAGAAAATTTTATGATCAGGATTCCATAAGCAGAAACTATCATTAAATATATATAAAGTATATCAATAATCTCATGCAATAAACAAGATGAGTCATAAACTTTTAAAAACTTCAAAGAAGTAGGAAATGAAGATTGTTGAACTCAATTGCATCATCTTTCCCTTCTTTAAAAAGATTTTAGATTATTGTAGAGCTACATCAACTGCTTTAATCATCAAATATTTGTTTAAATATTTTGTCATCAATGTAAATATACTGTAGAATATGGAACCATGTTTACTGCTAATAACATAAACCAATAGTTATAATTTTATCATAAATAACAACAACTCTAAGCCTGAATAGTATATAATAAATTACCAAACGATCGCCTAAATATCGGGCTATAATACGGCTAATTAAATGATTGGATTAGCCGTATTATNGTAAATTTAGCTTTCACTTTTAATATTTGCATTCTGAAAATTGTAATAACAATTAAAATTTAACTAATAAAATTTTGATAGAATCATTCTTTTTAAATGAAAGCACAGCCAACATATTTTGTAGTTGTAGCATGTTGCTTATCTGTCGAATGTAGGTTAGTACATGTAACAACTGGCATGCAAACACTTGTCATAAGTGGATCCATAACTCAGTTCTTTGTAAAATCATAAACATTTAGTTAGAAATAGGTAAAATCTGGATAGCTAAATCAATAAATGTACACAATATTGGACTATTTTGACTATATACACCAGTGGTTATCAAACAGTGCATGCAAGAGATGTTATAATTATTATGAAAGTATATTTTAAAAGAAAAATAAACCTATTTGTATTAAGAATTATTACATTCACAATCAAATAATAGCTGGGCCTATAGGTAGAGAGACCAGATGCCCCTGATATATGATTGTAGAACCAATCTTTAAATTGCCAAAGTTCAATCAGTTTTAGACCCAATTTCATATATTCTGAAGTGTGTTCTGGTTGGATTGTAAATGTTACGGTTGGCCCACTACAGTTTAATAGTTATTACAGCAAATATCTATTCGTAATGAGCCATATATATATGGTATTATTTATCATCTTATCAAATATAAATATTTATTTAGTCGTCTTTGAATGTAATGTTAAAAATGTCCTACAAAATATTTATGCCATTAGAATTTGTAAAAAAAATTATACTGATATTTAAAACATACTTCCAATTAAAGCTTCATTAAAAATACAACATATTGAGTCTAAGGCAAGATAATATAAATATTTTAAGTTTTATGGTTAGAGATATTAGCGAGGTTGCGGCAGAAGTTTTCATCTCTAAAATGTGAATGTCAAACGTCGCAATCTTGTAAGCGGGGCTCGATGTTTACGTTTAAGAGATGAAAACTTCGGCCGCAACTTCGCTTTTATTGCATATAAAACAATTCTACTTAAATGATTATTTTACAAATATTTTGCCAAATAGTTTAATATGTAGTAATAGATATGAGGGTGCATCCCATTCCTAATTAAAGAACTGTTCAGAACAGAACCCTATGGAATGATATAACTAAGCATAGTCTTATATACTGAAGCAATTTAAAAATAATTTGGATTGGATTAATGGAATAAGACATTTGGGTGATCTGTCAAGGGAAATTCCTTCCAAGAAAACTTTCAACGGGAAACAGACTCCTATTTAAGTGTTAGACAGGTGAAGAAAACCTGAAAACTGCGCATGGCCAGTCCATCAGTCAGGTGCAAACTTGCAACTGACTACCAGCAAGTTGTTTTACCCACAAAACACTGGTGAGCGGGCCTTAAGATTTTATATCTATGCAGATATAACATAATAAACCAGTAGTGTAGCAAGAGATGCGAGGGAGCAACTGCATCCTCCTGCTGACCAGCTAATAATATTTATTTTTGAACAATTGGAACTCATTTTTATATAAGCATGAAAGTAAACCTAGTCAAATGCCACATAAGTGTAAATTTAAACTTTAAAAGTAAAACCTTAGAACCTGGAGAAGCTGTGGAAATAAATGTACAGATGGTCAGTTTATTTATATAAGATGACATCCTCACACCATCTCACTGGAGTATGATGGAAAGGTCCTCTTAATGGACCACATCCAGTGTCAATCTGCTAGGAAAGTGTCAGATGATGGAGTCTCATCTAGCTTCAAAATTGACTGAAGGTGTATTTTGTTATGATCACTAGAAAGAAGACAAGAATGGATATTGGAATCAGTGGTTGTCTAGTTTTTTCACTACATCTCCCAATTATTAGGATTAGATTTTTATGATTTTATTTAAACTGTTTTGAAAATATATCAGTATTCCAAATGTAGTATTTTTAATATTTAAGGTAAATTTATCAAACAAATCTAATACTGGAATGAAGGTTCTTTCTTAGATGATACAACAACAACAAACCTCTTTTAAAAGTGGTTTAAATTCAATTTTTCTTACTTTGATATATTTATACCAGCTGAAATACAAAATCTTAAAAATAATTCTTATATGCTAATACTTTTTTTGTGTTGTTTTTAAGATCTTAGATATATAAAAATGATCATAATAAAATTGCATAAACATTGTCTCAGTAAAATAATGTTTCTGTGGGTCACAAATGGACTTTATACCACTTTCAGAACTAATAAACTGTCAAAATTATTTAATTACTATTTAAGAGGTATTATTATGATTATATTAGATAATAAATACAACTAACCTGATAGTTATTACAAATACAAAATGAAACAACCGGATTCTTTTTCAGACTGCAAGCTACACAATTATTAAGCAATTTGACAGACCGTCATCTTGTTAAATGTAATAATAAATTTAAATTTAGAATATTCAGGAATAAAGATTGTATTAGATTATTATATTCTTTTGCTATGATTCTGCGATTCTGCATGATTATTTGATTGGTATGAACCAATCATAGTCAATAAAATATACAAATAAAGTAATTTTACGTACTTTACATTGCAGTTTTATCCAAAAACATGCCCCTAAAAACATTGTTTGCTTTTATTCATTGTTGACATTACAACTCAGTGAGTGTGAAAAATATAAAAAGTTTCACATTACTCACTAACTAATGATGTTAACCTGTTGAAGTGTCTACAATAATCATTAATCACATTTAATTAAACTGTGGCTAGTAATTTAAACTTAGTACTCAGCATCAAATTTCAATAGAAACAATTATATTTTAAAACTACATAAAATAAAAACCAAATAATTTAAATAGCAAAGTGCTAAGTTTCCTAAGTTTCGAGCATATTTCCCATTAGAGAGTAACCAATTCCGATTCAGAGGTCGGCGTGTTTATTTTTAAAATGATAAAGTCGTTAAGGGAAAGCCATATTTATCACGCAGTAACATTTCTAGCTACAGATAAAAATTCTTAAATTATTTTGATAAAGTAAAGAAAAATTCTGTCATTATTTATAGTGTAAATAATGACAGAATTACCCGAACTAACAATTTAAATAGCAAAAAAAAAAAATAATTCGGTTGCACACTTGAGAGATATTGTTCCAAATTGCTATCATACAGCAATATCATTCCGTATTTAAAATGAAGAATTATGTATGAAATTCAAAAATAAGACAAATTTAATGTAAATTTAGCTTTCACTTTTAATATTTGCATTCTGAAAATTGTAATAACAATTAAAATTTAACTAATAAAATTTTGATAGAATCATTCTTTTTAAATGAAAGCACAGCCAACATATTTTGTAGTTGTAGCATGTTGCTTATCTGTCGAATGTAGGTTAGTACATGTAACAACTGGCATGCAAACACTTGTCATAAGTGGATCCATAACTCAGTTCTTTGTAAAATCATAAACATTTAGTTAGAAATAGGTAAAATCTGGATAGCTAAATCAATAAATGTACACAATATTGGACTATTTTGACTATATACACCAGTGGTTATCAAACAGTGCATGCAAGAGATGTTATAATTATTATGAAAGTATATTTTAAAAGAAAAATAAACCTATTTGTATTAAGAATTATTACATTCACAATCAAATAATAGCTGGGCCTATAGGTAGAGAGACCAGATGCCCCTGATATATGATTGTAGAACTAATCTTTAAATTGCCAAAGTTCAATCAGTTTTAGACCCGATTTCATAGATTCTGAAATGTGTTCTGGTTGAATTGTAAATGTTACGGTTGGCCCACTACAGTTTAATAGTTATTACAGCAAATATCTATTCGTAATATAAAATAATGCATTTTTAATATTGTACACAAAACACAACAGAAAAATTTTTAATATTGTACACAGAAAAATTTTTACTATTTCACAGCATGCCACAAACCATTGCTACAGAGAATGCATAAATATGGAAAATTTCGACCTGATTAATATTTCCGGTCTTTACATTAATCGTACTTATCACATGAAGACTACGACACGCAATAATCCGGCGGTTAACACGATTACTCAGTTTAATACAAAAGAGTGACAGTTTAAGATAAAAGCACATTAATGCAGATCCAATACGAACGAAACCGCAATAACTAAACGAATAAATACAGAGACAAAGATCATTTTAACACTATAAACAGCATGTTTGGACCGTAAATAGAGAGGTTGCGGCCGACGTTTTCATCGCGAAAACGTGTACGTCGGACATTCAGTGCCTTCCTGTAAGCCTAGGAGTTTGACAATAGTGCTTGGAATGTCGAGCACGATTCCACTGACTATCCAAACACCATTGTCAAACTTCTAGGTGTACAAGAAAGCGGCACCGAACGTCTGACGTACACGTTTTCGCGATGAAAACGTCGGCCGCAACCTCTCTAATATCGAAATTTCGATCACATTAACCTTTTTAACCGGTCACCGGTTTACACAGTTACAACAACGCCAAGGAGAGAATTCTTCCCGGGAGATCTTTTACGGGAAACCGGCCCCTATTTAGGCATTACTAACACGAAGAAAACTCTGCAAACCGACGACCGACATCTAGTGTTTTATCCGCTCGGCCACTTGCCGGCCTTTTATTTAACCTATCGCATACAAGCATGCATTATAACTAGGTTAACAGATGCAACAACTTGTATGCAATTCTCACGAGTATTTTTGATAGAAACCACACAAAATATGGGGAAAATCCGAATTTATACTTACAAACATGTAAATAAACTGAAATAATATAAGATATTAATTATATAAGTACATTTAAGACTTAATTACGATCAGAAATTAGTTTTATGCGAGATTTTACACAGTTACAGACGAGAAATAAGTCGAGACAGGCTAATGAAGTTTACCTTCTCGGATATCACCAGCCATTGAAGTATTAACTTACATAACAAACAGAACATACTTTGTTCGTTCACTAACTTCACCATATGTACGCCTTTATGCCGCGTATAGTCAATTATCGACTTAAAAAGAACGGAAAAATCCACTCGAAAATCCGTTAAGAAGGAAAAACTCGACGATGATGATGATGATGCCAGCAGTGACGTCACTGCCAGCGAATATCTCGTCTGTAACCAAGCAAAACAATTGCTACGAAATTTCCTGGAAGAGTACGTTACCTAAAGGGTCATAATTCGACGAAAAGTAACTAAATGACATCTCACCCGAGTCGAAATTCGTCATCGCCCGTGAATTTTGAGGGGTTTAATTGAACTTAATTCCATGATGACAACTTCACGTCCGGAGGCGGATGTTTCGATGGCGCCATCTGCCAGACGATAACAAATAAAAAAAAAAAAAAAAAAAAAAATTAAAAATTATGGAGGTCATATGTCGTCTGCTTTTGTGTCGATGTTTATGACTATAATGAAAGTGACGTTAGAAATAATTTTAAACGATAAAAAAATAATTTTATAAATATTTTATGAATTGTTATAGTAATATGTTACGAATCTTTCGCATATCGTGCCGGTGACGTTACTGTTTTTTTTCGGACGGATGACGGCATTTTGTATTTTATAACAACTTACGCTTAAAAATTGTGATAACTGGATAATTTGGAATTATTCAATGCTTATTATTTATTAGCTAACTTTCTTCGCCCTCTTGCAGTAAAAGGGCCTTTTTGGTTTGACAGCCGGTTGGCCGAGCGGTTAAAATGGCGGACTACCTCTCCGGAGGACCCGTGATCGAATCCGGACGATCAAAAAACCCCGAAAAAGGAATTTTTCGGGGATGGTCCGTCCGGCTATGTGGGGTCCCGTACTTTACCACCCGGCCGCCCGACTGGACACATAATGGATTTACTAAACAAAGGCCATCTTAGTGTCCACAGGGCAAAAAGAGTTAAAAAAGAGCCTTTTATTAGGCAAACCCGTCATAAGTTCGACCAGGATTACAACGAGACAACCCGACATATATGGACGCACAATTTGTCGAAAACTTCCTGACGTGTCCTGATTCGATTCCGGATCTCCAAGAACTGTAAGCAGCCATCTTACCGTTTGGCAATCGGACTATCATGCTAATGGGGTTGGTTAAGCTCATGAAGTGAAGTGACCGGATGGTGATAAATGAGATCTGAAATATTCGAATGATTTTTTTTCGGAATTTCTGATTTAGTCATGGCCCACCAGTAACCAAGCGGTTTCATTCCCTGAACACTGGGAGTTCGGTAGTGGGTTTGTGCCTCGCCAAGAATGGCTGGCCACGTGGCGTTTTCCGGATATTCTCCACTTCTGTAACGCCGGAGTAGGGACCAGTTACCCTTAACAAGACCTCTCGGAATGCATCACCCCTCGGCAGATCGCTCAAGTGTTGAATTGCCGTAACTTAATTAATAAACAAACAAACTAATCTAGTCAATCCACAACTGAACGAGATGGGTAAAAAGTAACTAAGCATTAGAAATTCGCTACAATTTTTTAAAATAGTAATGCAATCATATTAAAATTCAAAATAGAGAGGTTGCGGCCGACGTTTTCATCGCGAAAACGTGTACGTCAGACNATCAACCAATGGAATTTTATAATTCTTGCATCGATAGTATGGCAATAATTAAGGAAAACCATAAGCGTCATGGCAAAAAAAAAAATGGCCGACCGCATATCTGCACGGAAGCGAGCACAGATTGTTACAGGCTGAAATGTGGAAATCAGTAGTTGCTGTTTAGAGATGGTTGCGTATGGTGAAGGAACCTCATGCTATAATTTATTTGGAAACAATCAAGATTGTTTTTCGAAGCTAATGACCACAGGTTTGATTACAGATGCACAGAGAAGTGAATGGACATCCGTGTCACGATCTGAGAAAAACGTTTCGTTGGCGGATGATGCTGGTTTCACATCGAATTTTAAGGTATTTCAAGTTAATAAGATACATTTTAAATAATTTTCATCATTTTTACTGTAGAAATATATAAATAATGGCGACTTTTTAATGTCTAGTTATTTTCAACCCACCTTGTATATATCTATATTAATATAAGCATTAGTGTTAATATATATAATTAAGCTAAAAACGACTTTGTTTATTTTAACATTAAATACAAATGTGATAGATATTTCAAACTTTTTCTTTATGATTTCGCTCTAGAGGCATCTACTTATAGTGAAATGCATTTTACTATATTTATTTTAGTCAGGAAATATCTTTATATTTTTCTCAGGTTTCTAAAATAAATATAAAAAGTTACATTTTTTTTCTAATTAATTAAAAGAATTTGATTTTTAAAATAAATATATAAGCTAACATAACTGTTATACTTCTAAAACAAACTAATGCAAATCGCCAAAGAATTTAACAGGCCTTAAGAAAATTTATTTTTGAGACTCATTAAACGCAAGTATAGTATTTTTATTTATTTTTATAATACAATGAACAATAAATTCAGAAAATACGAATTTTTAAGTAATGCCAAAAGATTCACAGTATTATTGGGCTATAATTAAGGCTAATTTAAAAATTAAATATAAGGTAATCTGTCTAGAGATAGGCGGTTAAGCCGCCATCTAGTGACAATTTCAATAATTATAATTGAAAGTTTAACAATTAATTTATTATAATTATAAAAATTTTCACTAGATGGCGGCTTAATCGCCTATCTCTAAACAAATTACTTTATATCTAATTATTAAATTAGCCTTATTATAGTCAGAAAATACGGCGGACTGTTTGGCAATATTATTAATATTTCTAGTATAGAAACAGAAACTGTAAACAGAAATGTGTACAATAATCTTACAATCATTTAGAAAATTCAATAGGTACAAATGAATGGTATGTAATCTGAAATAATTTGTAAGAATAAAGGCCAACTGTACAGAAATCTATGTGGCAATGCCCCTTCTCTGTGTCAGGCGAAATGCCTTTCACGTTAATATAAACTAGACTAATTCTAGATTCTGAGCGAGCATCAGTTGTAAATTATGCCGCTGCGGTAAAAAATTCGAAAAATTACACCTGTTTGATAAGTACAAAGCAGACAAATACGTATACAGTATAGATTTTTATTAGTTGCTTAGTGTGGCTTTGTTTTTGCACGTGTGAAAACCTAACGAACAAGGGTTTCCGATTAAGTAATACGTACGTGTGGGCGCGAGATTCGGATTTGTTGTGTGGGCGCGAGATTTGTTCGGGTCAGTCGAACGAGGTGGATGTGACCGGATCATTCTGGACTGTTATAACCAGCCAACTTGTAGTTCTTTGTGATAGATTAAACGGGAATTTCACGATTAGAGATATTTACACCACACTTAGATCATAAATGATACTATTATCCCTGCAATGAATGGCCTGGATCTCACAGACCCAGGTGACTTTTTACATTCATTACGTATTTATACAGGTAAGCAATTCATATTACACATACTTTCCTACTTAGGGTAGTAGTACAAATTTATGTAAAATACAAACTGAATAATTTTACTTTGTGGCTAGCTGACAATTCAAGTGTAAATAGAACCAGGCCATTCATTCGTGTAAGTCTTTTTTGTGCTTTGTATTTCGTTTATTTAAGTTATCTGTTTACGTAATTTATAGATTTTAATGCTGTGTGTCTAGCGAATAATTACGTTATTATCATACGTGCTTTTGATTTCTGTATGAAGCATTTCATATTTTCCTTGCAGTGAACGTACTGCTGAATTACAACACAAAAAAAAGCTTTACATCTATTAATTATTAGCAAGTACTGAGAAAAATGATTTATTTTTATTTAATGTTTCTAACCGAAAATTTAATTACTTAATATAGTAAAATTTTTATACGTTTATAGTAAAAAACGTATAAAATTCCAATGTACAAATGGAAAATAAAATTTGATGTTTCCTCTGTTCTTATCAGCTGGAAGATTTGGTCATCAAAATAAACAGCAGGTAAAAGATGTTTTGAAGCAAATGAACATGAAACTGGAAGGTTGCAAAAAAAAGAATTCTGTGATGGATGTGCTTTGGAAAAATGCATAGACTACCATTTAAATAAGGAATAAATCGTCCAACAGTTACTGGTGAATTGATTCATGCAGATGTGAATGGACCAGTGTCTATTGAATTTTTAGGAGAAGCACGTTACTACGTATGCTTGAAGACGACTTCAAGAAGTTTCAATGAATTTTCTTTTTGAAACAAAAAGCGAAGCATGTGATGTGCTTGAGAAGTTTTTAAATGAAGCTAGAAAGAATGGACAAGTTGTCGAACAATTC